CTGATGTACTTCGTTCGGTGCATTGCTATCAGATATACGAATGTCAGTCGATGTATTCAACCACTAGCCGATATATCAGGAACGAAATTTGAGGTGCAATCGGATACTCTCTGCAGGTGCATCTGTATACGCTGGTCTATCATTCGGTGTAGCAATCGGTTGAGGGCTGACGATTAACCAGTTAGTACACCTTATGAAAATTAATTATATTAGATATAAATATTAAATGAATAGAAAATAATATTTTATTAATACATACCATGAAAGTTCTTTTATGTTGTTGAGACCGGTTTATAAGAAAATGTCGATGGACAAAAGGTACACGAGAACCGCAGACCTTCATGTTTTCTGATGGGTTTCAAATTGATTTGTGGTGAAAACCGATGAACATTGCCGCATTTAAACATATTGAATTTGTTGAATAAACGAAAATATGCTTAAAAATTAAACACTATGAAAAACACGTAGTGGTAAATGTAAATAGTAGACAAATGTAAACGGTAAAATAATTATTTGGAGACTTTAAAAACACAGAGCGTAACACATAAAACGTAAAGGTATGTCTAGAACAGACTGATTCTATATTTGTCCGATACAGTGTCTTGACATTTTTTAGTATGATAGCATTTTGTGGGAAGGTACAGATTTAATTATGTATATAAGTTATTATTGTGTTATTCACTAATAGATATTTTAAATTGATTATTAAATAAAATAGTGTTTTATATTTTTTAGGTATGATAATATTTCGTGGGAAGATTCTGATATCGTTGTATGTTATTCAATAACAGGTATGATAACATTTCGTGAGAAGATACAAATTTCATTATGTATTATTCACTAATAGGTATTTTAATTTGTTGTTGTTGAGTATATCTAGAAGTCTAACGATTAAGAGATTTCTAAGTACTATCAGTATTTAATTTTAATATAGTGTCATCAAAACTTATATAATATTATATGATATAATAATTTGAATATATTTTCAATGGGTTAGAGTCGAGGTGGGTAGTATGAACAAGTAATATGTACATACACTCGGTTCGATCCTAACACAGAATATTATATATTTTTTTTTTTTGCGTTATAGTAAGTTTTTATATATAATAACATGTGATAAATGATAATAATATTAATCGATAGTAATATTAATTGATAATAATATTAAAATATATGTTGATTACTTACCGGATCATATGGTGGTGGGGTAAATATACATCACACACGTACGCAATCAAAGATCACGAGATTACGAGCCAGGGATCACGGGGATCACGAGGATCACGGGGATCACGAGGATCACGGGATCACCAGCAGAACATACTAATATATACTACTGATAGATGTATAACTAAATTTCCACATTCTTTCATAATTAATAATAATTATTATACTCTTACTTGCAACATATGATAAAAATAATGCTTGTAATATAGATGTAAGTATAAAATCACGTAATAGTGTAATGCCATATACTATAAACCTACATTATATAATATACAATATATTATGACTATTGGTCCATATATTTTAAACTGAAACTGTGAATAACTGTGGCATATGTTTTATCTAAATATATTAAAGTAAGTATTTAAGGAATTCAACTCTCAATTTAACAACGATGGTCGATGGACAATGTTAACATTAATCTCACATTCTCGTCCGTTGAATCACATATTACAGCACTTTACCTATAGATACGCGTATTTAATACAATTAATTTTTAAATCAATGTTAATATAGTTTTTATTTAGCATTAACTAATAATATAAACGCAATCAAACCAACCCGTTTGAATATTTGATACATTTCAATAATATGTATCTATCTACTTAACCTATACGCATAAAAATTCATAAGTCATAGGTACTCACTCATATAAATGATAAGTGATGAAATAGTGATTAATAATTATGTAACTTTAAGATGATAATCACTGGAAGTGAGACTCATAATCGTAAACAAATTTATCAAGTTTAGTTCATTAAAGCTGTAATGTGTTCTTGCGTTCTCTGAAAGTTTCATTGAAACCGTACATTTTTTTTATTAAAAATTACATATTATGTAGCCGTTTATATCTTATATCACTAATGTATTTTTAACTGTTATTTATTTTCTAAATGTTAAAAAAAAAATAATGTTATTAAGAATAAGTTAAGATGACATTCGTCAGTAAAACTTTATGAATAAAAAAAAAAAAAAAATTTTATTTCATCGAAAATAATATTATTTTTTAATTTTATAAATTGGATTATTTTTTAAGAGACATTTTTTAATTATAATTTAATGGTAGTTTTTTTATAAAAACGGACATTATAAAACACAAGGATGATTACAGAAATAAATAGGTAATAATAGATAAGTATGATATGTTACATCTATATAATAAAGTATAATTGAATGTGTATAGAATATTATTAAGCGTATAATTTAAAAATAAATTATCTAAAAATTAAGTTTTAGTCAATATCACGTGCGTATTTACGATGGACGAACAATTTGTAATTGTTTATATTGTTAAATAATATTGTTGTTTTAAGTATGTAAAACATTGTTGATTATATTTTATTTTAATAATAAATAATTTTATTTGAAAAATGAGTATACTCAAGTGAACTCATTTACATCAGCGCTTGTAATTTTTATGTACACTCGAAAAATAGTTAAGTTAGGAACATTAAAATAGCCAGTAATTTATGAAAACATTGCCTTACCATCTTTTTTTAAATAAGATTTTACCCAAAATAAGAATTTAATATTTTTAAAATACGATCATCGGTTTATTTTTAACAAATTATATTTTCCCAAATGATTGTTATATTATGGACAATTTTTTTCTTTTCAAAAATTTTAAATCCATTATTATTGATTATTTACATAGTATAAGTTATAAAATTATTTTTATTAGTTAAAAATGTAAAAAAAAAGTAAAGGTACAAAATCTGCATAACACATTTTATACTGATATTTAATAGGTATCATCGTGACTCGTGGAATTACTTTTTATATTAATGTGTATGTAATTATTAGTAAAGTCAATTTCCACTTTAAGTCAATGACATTAGTTATAAATTATAAGTTATAATCCATATTATATTTTATTATTGTTTCATCTGTCATTTTATTGAATACAAACCAAGAACCGCGTCATCACTGCTCGGTGGAGAAATTTCCATTACAGTGTTTGGACCGATTACAGCATTAAGTGACAGATGCCATCACCGACAACGTTAAAATTTGACAGCTCCCCAAATAGACACAATACTGTACAAAAAAAAATATTAGTAAACTGTGTAAAAAATGTTCATTTCGTTTACACATTTGAAATTAGTTATTTTAAGAATAAAAATATCAAATATATAAAATAATGGAAATGATAATTCGAAGGTACATCGAGGTTTTCTTTTCATTACTCTAAACAAAACCATAAATAAATTGTTAAAAAATAAATATTTCATTGAAAAAAAACTTGAAATTTCCTTTAAAACAAATTCCTTTTTAGTTTTCATAATAGGCGTCTTTGTTTTAAAATCACTCCGAGCAATTTATTTTCAATCGAAGTAAGCATTTTATATTACACTACAAAAATCACTTATACAGCATACTCGTATATATTATATGCATAATATATTACTGCTTGTCATTTTTTTTATGAGATTTTAATAAAATCGAAATCGAAATATCGCGTTAAAAGTTTTGAATTTTACACCGATTTAAATGATAACTAAGTATATAACTAAATAATTACAATGCATTTAAAAAGTGAAAATATAGTGTACACAAGTATGATAAGTATATTGAATGGCAAACAAAAATATGACAAAAAAAAAAAAAAAAAAAAACAGAAAAAAAAGATGTTTCAAATCAAAAACATCGGTAGAGGCGACAGCTACATTTATGCAGACGGTCAGTCAACGTGTGTTCTGTGCATGAAATACCGCTTGATGATTTCGGTCATGAGCTCTCGGAACTCGGTAACGTCTTGCTTTGACTGACGGCCATCACCGTCGTAGCCACCCCTCCCCCCGTTTAGCGACAAGCGGTCGTAGCCATCGGACTTGGACATGAACCGCCTGACACCGACCAGCCAGTCGGCGGTGGGCAACAGATTGAACGGCGGCGGCATGTCGTCCAGCAACATATAGCTGACGTACACCTGGGTCCGGCCGAACAGCCACTCATACTCGGCATTGTCGGCTACCCGCTGGAACGTGTCCGACATGGCGGCGACCAGCATGTTCATCATGACGACGACCATGAGCACCTCGAACACGGCGAACAGACCGTAACCGATCAGCTGGGTAAAATGATGCGGCTCCGTGGCCGCGTCGACGCCACCGGTGGCCGCCACCGTGTTTCCGACCACCACGTTGGGTGCGTCCAACGACGTCATGCAGAATATGCCCCAGAACAGTGTCTTGAACGTGTCGGCAACGGTGACGAACGAATCCTCTTGTCGGGCCGTCTCGCCCGTTTCCGGATTCTTGTACACCATTCCCGTGTAGTAGGCGTAGTACGTGCCCAGGCCGCACGTGAACGCCGCCATAATGATGACTAGGAACGTGGCGAACTTGGCGAAGTCATACAGCACTTTGCCCAGGGACACCTGCATGGGCCCGATGTCGTAGTTGAGCTGGCACAGGAACAGTAGCCGCATATACGCCATGACGGTGGCCACGGCGAACAGGGCCTCGGCCACCAGCTGTGGATCGGCCCAGTGCCAGTACTTGCGGTCCAGGTCGTCGGACACCCAGCCGGCCTGAGCGCCGGCCAGCGCCCAGCACAGGAACGCAACCGTAAACAGCGTAAGCTTGACCGTGTCAAACACGTTCCACAGATTCCTGAAAAACCGTTCGGGACCCTGCTGGAGCCGCAGCTTGGTCTTCTCGACCGCGTGACCGAGCACGAACACGACGATCGGTGACCACGTGTGGAACCTCGGCGCACCTCTGGGCGCCAAGAACTTGTCGGTGTTCGAGTGAACGAACAGCAGAACCAGAAACACCAAGTATGCGACTAGACTGTTGAACATCCGGTTGATCGGCAACCGGTTGGTCCGGTTCAGTTTCGAGTCGGGCGCAAACATGCCCAAGATTGCCATAACTGGCAGCATGCAGAACCTCCACAACATGTATGCTAACTTCCTTAGCACCGAATACGACTTCCACTCGATCCAATCACCCAGCCAAGCCGTCTCCAACACCTGTTGAATGTTGGTGTGCGCCACGAACTTTTTTTGCTTGTGGTCCATTGCTGTGATCAGCCTCGGGTACGGAAACTGTCCTCTGAATTTGCATCCGTCCCGATTTCGCAACATGATTTTTACTTCGTCTGATGTCCTACAGTTCACTATCATATCCACCGCAAACTGTTTTACCTGGAAGTAAAAATAGGAGCGAATTTTTTTTTTTTAATAAGTAATCAAAACGTACATTTTTTTATCATCATAATGAATTACATGTTTAATATTTAAAATTAATCCAACCTAAACTGTAAAATATAATTTAACACTTATAGCTCTATCGATCATGAGTGACGTACCAGAAATACGCTTTTTGTAAGCACTCGTAAAATTAAAATTGTCCACTGAGTACACCAAAATAATATTTATTATAAATTAAAAAAAAAAAAAAAAACTATAAAAATAAAATGATCTATATTGAGATTAAAATTATACCGCAGCTAACGTCAATTTAGTAATAATAACAAGTAAAATTATATAACATTTGTTTTTCATATTTTATGGAGCGTATTGGTGATTATAATATACTTATTTTTATGGAACGTAATCAAAGCCGTATCCAGAAATTTAATTGAGGAAGTCCAAAACCTGTACATAGTATATTGTATATTTACTGAATTAAGGTTTTGAAATTTGGTTAACAGTAAAACCAAAAAAGATTTAATCTTATTTGATGAAGATATTTGATTAAATAAACAAAATTACTTTGACATCTTGTCCCCTTACACTATACAATGTTTGTCACAATCAGACGGACGACGGTATAGTATTATACTCGTAATAACATTTTTAATTACTTGACACAAATTATATTATTTAATATAATATCACGAAACGGGTAAAAATATCCGCTCTCTCTCTCTCAAAAAAAAAAAAAAAAAAAAAATAAATAAATAGAACAATAGCTGAGTGTATTGTAATTGAATAACTGAGAAAAAGCAACTATGCATTTTTTATTTTAAAATTGATCACAATTATTTACTCCCATTGTTGAAAATTCTAAAAATATACAGAATATTTATACCTACGCCAATCGTCTACAAAAATCTATTGGTACATAACTGTCAATTATATAATTTACGTGTCTTTAAATTTTAATTATAGTTAATAACATAACAACAATATTATTTATATCTATTTAAATTACACCATCTACAAACAAACAAAAAATAGAACGGTATATATATATTATTTGATAAATAAAAAACAAGATTATAATTTTTTATAATTATTCAATTATAATACGTAACTAACCTATATAGTGCTTTAATCGAAAAAAACTAGAAGGGGATACAAAGTTTAAAAAAAATATATATACCTATAAATATATAATTATGAAATACGTATAAATATTTTTTTTAAAGAAAAGGAATTTGCATTTAATTTTCTTAACAGTACAATGTAGACAAAACTGAAATTCAGTACGAAATAATCAAGTTTTATTTAAAACAATGTAACAATATGTAAAGTGATACTTTTGAATATATCTAGATACTATAAATACTCATTTTCTCTAAAATGTTTAATATTTTTAGATAATTTAAAACCGTTATAGACTGACATTTTTAAAAAAAATATATTTTTAGTATTTTCATCATTATTATTATTTAAATATTACATACTTTTTTGAATGCGCCTTTTTTATTGCATATTCTGGAATAGAAAATGTTTTTAAAAATGTATACAATATATACATATTGTGTACATCAAATCAAATTTTTAAATATTTTGTTTTGGATTATTTGTACAAACAAATAATTATTATTATTTGTAAATATTAACTAGTTTTATCGATAATAGCTGAATAATAAGTCTCGATTTATTGTCATAACCTAGAAGATAATTAATTAATTTTAAATACATCATTACCCGAAAATCATAAAAATAAGTTATAAGTTATTACATTAAAATCTAAATTTATACAATAGATATAAGTACATCAAACACTGTATCCAATCCACCGTTGACGAATTGCATATTTCGATCGGATTTGTCCACAAGTGAGGTACCTATAACAACACTGAAATTCCTGTCATATAAGATATATCATATCTCAATAGATCGATATTTTAAAAGGATGCCCTATTGGTTACACGTTTATATTCTATTATAATAAATAAAAGTATGATAAATAAAAATTCAAAAATATAAGAAAACAAATCGTGTTTATAAAAATTCTATGTAAAAATGTTTATAGGTTTATTAGAATGTGAGATCAAATAATAGTAATGATATCCGATGTCTTGGAAGTATACCGATTCTGAGACACATAAAATTGTTATGATTAGGAAAGGCTTTTATTATCTTCTTGACTCCACCATATAAAAGAAATGGAAGATTGGAGGTAAGACGGGAATTAACAGAGATACGCTTGGAATATTTTCATTAGTAACATTAAATAAACATGTTCGAGTATTATTTTGTACAGCCATTATTTAAACTTCAACGTGAAGTCACATCCGTATTCAAACAACTATTTTACTATTTTAGTACGCGACAATATAAAAAGTTAAAAAGTGTTTTTTTACTATCTCTTATTATTAATAAAATTTATTGATTATTAAATGTTATAATTTCTAATTCGACGATCATGTGTTAACTTAATATAACTCAACTTGAGTAAACTATTTTCATTAAGTCACCCAGTGCCCACCTTAAAATATCTATAGATATGCCTGTGACGGCCGACGCTGATCCGACAACCAATGGACCAACAGAATATTACACCGACATGTAATATTCTTATTAAACGATAAATCTAATTTATTCCATCGACATAGTACAAAAAAATTATAAAAATATGTATATTTATGGTTGTGGTAGGTATCTATTAAAATTAAACAAAAATTATATTTATAGTCTTGTGTTATAACTGTTATAAGGTGAGTTGCAGTACATCTTATAGGAGGTCATATTAAATTTTCATTTATACTTGTAATATCGTGTAAACGTTTCTTACAAGCAGCATGTGTTATAATAATACGATATATTATTTTATTTTAAATAACAATTGATTTGATAAATATCGATATTGTTCGAAAAGTTTGATATTTTATATGACATACACGTTATACATAAATATATAATATCATCATAAGCGTGCGCATGTAAGAGGTAGCGAAAGCAACTGCCTCCCCTGCAAGATTTTCCGCTTACCCGACTACCCGAGATCATATATTATACACTAATACCTACCAATTATAATAATAATTAAACAATATGTTCAATACCAATAGGTATACTATTAAATATAATATTATATCTTATATAATATAATATAATTAGTATAGTATTACATATTTAAAAAAATTATCAAATTATTCAAATTATGTTTTCTAAATTCTATTTACTATTTTTTTATTATTATGTATTATTAAAAAGGACTTATTGAAAACTCTTTTGATAATTTTATGTTTAACTTAACTTTTAACCGTACAAAACCGTATATTTGATTTTGTGTGAGAATTTATTTACGTAAATTATCGTTGCCTCTCTCACCAAGGTTTTAAAAAAATCGGGAGGAAGGGTCCTTAGCTAAAGGTATTGCCTCCCCTGCCAAGAAGACCTGCGCACGCTTATGATTATATCATACCGGTTATCTTAGACTTAATACCCGACGTCGGCTTCTCTGTTGTCGGTTTCAGCCGACGGCTCGCCGTCCCAGTCCCGCGTGACGTTTGATACGCACCTGTTCGGCCATAGACGTGTACGCCGCCTTGTACACCTGTTCTTCGGATCCGCACTGCAACAGCTCGTCGTGCAACTGGAAACATCTGAGCACCGGGTCGGATCTGGTGGACGTGGTGCATATGAACGTTGGGTTGCTGATGGCCCAGTACGCGTTCAACCGCTCACAACCGTCGGTGACCACTTCGCCGCGCACGGCCGCGGCCGCGCACCGTTCGTCGCACGTGCACCGCGGCGTGTGCGGCCTGTCCAGCGTGTGGCCGCGGTTCAGCAAGTACTCGACCGTCTCGTACAGGCCGCATTGCGTGGCCAACAGCAGTGGCGTCATGAACCGCGGGAACTCCTCCGAATCGTCGTCGTCGTCCGCTGCATCGTTTCCGCCGGTACCCGACGCTATCCTTTTCCAGCCACCACTGACCTTGCCCCGGCTTTTTTTGCCTCTGCCGTTGGTCTCCTCGAATTCCAGCAGGCGGTCCAGCAACTTGAGGTTATCGTACGTGATCGCCAACAGCGTCGTATCGCCGATTTTCACGTCTAAAGTTTATTTCGTATATAATATTACAGATGATGTAGGTATATTAGATACTACAACTACCCGACTTCGCCCAACTATACAGCTTCCTATCGATTAAAGTTTTCCTTTAGTAGTAATATTTGTACACATATCAATAATTATAAAACGATACATTTTATGATTTTTCATTTCTTAATAACAATCAACAAATTTTTTGGTGCAAACTACAAACACAAAAACTGACTTTTAGAAGCCATTTTGAATTAAACATCGCTCAGATTCGAGGGGATTGAAAACGGTGATTTTCTATATTTGTCTAATACACGCGAAACATAGGATTATAGACATGTTCTATTCTAACGTACTGATCGATAAAATGCAGCGATAAGAATTTTAAAAATATGTTTGGACTTGTCATCAAGCCTACTTGAGATCGACTTTCCCATAATTTTGATTTTATGCCCCATAATCCTAAAACTTTATATTAAAAAAAGAGTAATTAAAAAGTTGACATGTTTCAATTTTTGGAGAAGTTAAATCAAAAAATTAATAATGTAGAAAATTCGATCTCGAGAAGTCTTGCGTAAAATATAAATCTATTTTCAGAATGCTTATCTTTCTTATATCAATCAGTACGTTGGAAATAAAACACATCTATAATTCTATATTGAGTGTGTATTATAGACAAAGATAGAAATAATTTCCAATCCCCTTAAGTGGTGTTTTCGTCAAAAATATGACCAGAATTAATAAGTCTCAAACCATAAAAGTATCTAATCATTGTAATTGTGTTATAAGTATTTGATCTTTTAATAAATGTATACATCAAATGTTTAATAGTTATAAATTATTATGGTACCTAATTAAACATTACGCAACCAATGTGACAAATATTCAAATGAACAAATATTCGATTTTTGAGGTGAAACTAAATTCATGAATGATCCAGCCTACGTCAACCTATAGGAGTTATAAATAAGCTAAAAACAATTTCTTGAATCTTTATAAATTATATTAAGTAGGTATATTTATATACTTTTTTATTAAAAACGGTTCGTTAGTTTATGAAATTAATGCATTCAAACATACAAACTCTTTAGCTTTATAATATTATTATAGATAAATAAACTTATAAATATGATCAATATTAGCGCTAAAGTTTGATATGATGTTGTTTGATGAAATTATATCAAGGTACCCTAAACGCTAACCAAATTAAGGTGGTAAACAAAATAATATATAATTTAACTAAACATTTCAAGTTCTTCGTGATTTTTCAGTTATATTATATAGAGCGAAGTCGTTGGATAAAAATATGATAGATCTAGTTTCTGTGGTTTTATTATAGATGAAAAGTAAAGCAGTGGAGACAGGACATAGAATTATTTGAAGCAATTGCTTTATGTCTGAAAGCCCTTTGGCCATTGCTACTTATTAGGGGTGATGATAAAAATATTTAAAATATACAATATGCTTCAAAGTCTCCACAATTTCGCGCCAACACTAAGTAAAAGTACCTATACGAAAACAGTGATTCAATTGATCGTCGTATTTAATAATTAATAATTTATAATGAAAATTATATACACGGCCAGATTGTACTTTAACACTTGCAGTTTAATCCATTCATTGACATCCGTCTTGTCTCTATATTATCTATTCACGTCCATTTATATATTATTATATTTTATTATGGATACACTCTCATGTATTATAATTATTAGTAAAAAATTTGCTATTAGTATAGATGAAATAAATCTTTTTTTAGATTTATGATCTTATTATAGAAAGCAACTTATTGCATAGGTACCTACTGGTTAATTGTTAAATGTAGGTTTAGGTACTCGCCTTTTTGTTGAAGAATTAAATCGACTAGAGGTTCACATTGGTTCTGTATAGCCAAATGCAACGGCGTGTCTCCCTGGAACTTCATATTGATATTTACACTATTAGTTTTTAAATACTCTTCGATTGCTGGTAAGTTGCAACTTTTCACTAACTCAAAAAATTGTTGATCCTGCGGCGTCAACTCGTCGGTAAATGAATACAACTGCCCAGACATGTTAATTTTAGTTTCTTTCTGCAAAAAAAATTAACCTATAACTTAAATTATAAATAATATAAATTATAAACATATGTAATATTGTACAATTTAAAAAATATATAATTTATTTACATTTTTAGGTAACTATTTAAAATAGTATGTTACTGGCAATATTCAAAACAATTTGGTCTTACCCGGGAAATTAAAATCATAAACACACACAAATTATTATATAATTATATTTATTTAAGCTAATGTAATGATGTGCGATAAGCAATAATATATAATTAAAATTAAATATTTAAGTACAGTATAATAAAATAATTTAAAATAATTATGATAACCGATAGTTATAAGTCATTAGTATTAAATAAGATAAAATTATAGGAACAATAGATAGCACACGAACACACGCATACACATACAGAACATTAGTTATAAAAAGGCCAGTCAAAAGAACAGTGTTCTTACCGTCTTTTTGTATAGACAATCACAAGCGAGTGTAAAAGACTACGCAGATCGGATATACAAAAAGACGTAAATGTTAAAATTATTTATAGTTAAAATTAAATATATGTTAAATAATTCGTGTATTGAGAAGTTATAATAAAGTTAATAAGTATACTTAAGAAAAAAAAGTCTTGTAATTATTTAATATATATTGGTCACCTTACTCAGGGGCGGACTGGGCCGGTGGGCAGGTGGGCAAATGCCCACTGGGCCGGTCTGTGTATTTATTATGTAGGTATTTTTTATTATTGGATATATTATGGAAGTGGTGAAAGATAAATAAACAGCACACTTATTGCGGTATTTAGTACAGTTTACGGAAAAATTATTAGACAAGAGCATTAGGCTTATAGATGATGACAATATTATATATGTAGATATATATATATATTATATATGTGTGTAGATTTACAAATTAATAAAGTTTGTAGATGTCACTTAAATAACGCGGGCCTTTACTTCATTCGACGGCCTCCAACATTTTGTAAATACACCGTAATGACAAACTCGTGGTAATACGTAGTTGTTCATGTTATATAATTTAAAAACAATAATTACGGGTTTTCCCTAAAAGATGGTCAAAAACACCGCCAATGTATTTTTATAATATTATGACACTCATTCGTGACTCGATAAGCAATAATTATTAAATAATTGGCCTATAGATTTAGTAAATGTAAATTATCTTGTGTAGCTGAGTACTTAGTTCTGTGCAGTGTGTAGTTATTTTATGAGTTTATGACAGTAATTATTAGTTTTTAATTATTCTGTACTTACTATTAATTAATTATATATTTTAAATACAAATACAATTAAATTAGTTTAAAATCATGTTAAAATATTCCTTATTTTTATTTTTTTTTTTTTTTTACTTTCTATAATTTATTTCCCAATCATAAGATTTATTAATCATCAATTCATTAAAATTTTAATTTCAAAGCTCACTAAAATACACTGTGATTAGATTATATGTCTAACTATAAATCTAATCATCATAATTGAATTTTTTTTAGCTAATAGAATATACTATTTTTTATGACATAAGTTTTTATTAATATAAAGGTACAATTTTATAACGTGTATAGGACATTTTTCAAATGCAGGGAGAGCTATTTTTTATGTTTTGGGCCGCTTTCCAAAATTTGCCCACTGGGCCGGTGCCTACCCAGTCCGCCACTGACCTTACTACATATTCAGAACATTTACTACAGCATCAATAAGTCATTGTCAGGAGAAGAAAGGTTATATAATGATTTGTAAATAATTTAAAGGCTTATAATTGAACTCCCCCTTTATATAAAGGTCTTTTAAAATTATTACACTAATAATAATATAATACATTACTCAAGAAATAATTTTCTTGTAATTGTGATTTAAATTGCTCGGATAAAGTCTACATAGCTCATAACATATACATACGTATTTAGCGTAGATAACATGAGCAGCTAAGTACAGTAAAATTATGACACGTATAATGTACAGCCGTATAGGTATAATATAAATTGATATAAATTGTAAATAAGATTAAAAATTATTTAATGTTTATTTATTTTTTCAATTTCAGTTAGTCCTAATAATGTGAAAAATTAGATTTATATTAGATTTTCTTAACTCAGTAAACCAAATAAATCTATAGTCATTATTACTAAATATTATATTTTTATACTTACTGTAATGCCCATCATGAAAAATTAAAATATCGAATCACAGAATTATATGTATAATAGTAATAATATTAATAAGCTCATTGTGATTTACAAATTAATTTGTCTCGTCGTAGATATTTCGTAAGCTTTACGTAATAATATTACCTTATTTATAAATATAAACTAGGTACTATTATATAACCACAGTAACGATATTTTTTTTATCTTTTAAAACTAAATATTCCTAGATAAGTCCTGATAAGCTAGTATGATCTTGACAGTTTTGCTTTTATATTATTTTATAATATTTTGAGAGATTAAAGCGTTATTTTTTTTTTATTAGACAAATAATGAAAACTTAATAACATGGCAACATAGATTATTACTTCTTACTGCAGGGCTCGGGACTTAATACACTTGAGATCATAAAAATGTGCACATACATATGATATATGCATAATAAAATATCGAAATATGCGTTTAAATAGGTATGTGTTTATTTATAATTAAAAAAAGACGTACTTATATAAATTAAATTAAAAAAAATATATCTTATACATTTATATTAAAAAAGGCAAACCGTTAAATGGGATGTATTTGAATTTATTTATTTATACCATCCTCTCCATCATATTTAATAGAAAAAAAACCCATGTTTAAAATATTTTTTCTTAAATAGGATTTTTTTTTAATTTAATATAAATTATATTATGTCATTATTATTTAATAGTATTTCAAATAAAAACGAGATATTTTTGTAAATAACTTATTTACCATTTATTATTATTTATAATGTAGGCAACTCATATTACATCATATGTAAACACCATGAATTACGTAAAAAAAATATTATGACCCATAAATCATATCGTCGTTTATTATCAATGGTATTATTGACTATACCGTATGGCATATTATCGCATGTAGTATTAATTATTATTGTATTTGATATTATTTTTATTTTTTTTTAATTTTAAATATTTTAATGTTATTTCGAATTAAATTGAATATTTATTGACTAATAAAATTATTAATTTGAATTTGAACATTATTAATATGACGTACTGGAATAATAAGTTTATTGGCATATTCCAATTTACAGATCTAAATATATTCTGTAAGTATATTTAATATTTATGGCTGTGTTCGCTGCATTTTTTTTAAGCCATAAGTCTACTGTGTTTAATTTTAATTTAATGTATAGAACTTGCTAATTGCTATGCAATAATTTCTAGGTACATTATTGAAAATAATATAACAAGGAGAAAAAAAATCTATCAGAAAAAGATTGAAACTTGTACTACTACAACAAATAACAATTACATTCAAATCTCCATAACACCAATTAAGTAATATAGGTAGTGTTACATTTATTACAATATATTATTAGAAATTAGAAATCTAACATAAGAGAGAATAAGTATATTTTAATACATTAAAAACCTACTATGATGCATTCGTTTCATAAAAATATAGATTGGTTGAGAGGACTTGATAATTACCGACTTATTAAAATTGTACAGTATCTGCTTATAATGAAATTAAGAATTTATACATTTATTGTTTGTGTTTGAGGTTTTTTTATTATTACTTTAAATATAAGTAAAGTATCTAGTCTATATTATATAACATGAGATTAAAACACACGTATGTTTCATGTCGTATTGAAACACACTATATGTTAAAAATATAAATACTGTTGATTGGTTGCTATTTTATACTGATCTGCTTCTATGTAAACATTTATATTTTATACTATTTAATACTGCTATAATATTTATTAATCCATTGATAGTAAAAATGATTATTTTACAAAAAAATATATTTGTGTACTCTTAAAGTTATTTACTTTATCTTATTTAATATATATATATATATATATATATATATTTAGGTATTGATGAAAAATATTAATTTTTATTGAATAAATAAGCTAGATACCTCAAATATTTTAGTAATTAACCTTCAGTTGAATTGAATATTTTTTAACAATATTAATTTTTTTAGATGATTTTTTTCAATTTATTTATTTTCAGATATCTACGAGCATAACTAACTTTTGTATTAAGCAACCAGCAATAAAGATATTGACAACTAATCAAGATTTGTATTTTAGATTATTAAATGATTATCTATTTGTATTAAGAAAAAGTACAAAGAACATTGTTTGACATATAACTCAAATATATAAAGTTACTAGAATCAAGAATTATTTATAAGGTATAAAATTTTATAAATTATTTTATTGTCAAATTAACATTCACTTTAAAATAAAAAATTTAATTCTCTAACATAAAATTAGAGGACCAGAAAAAAAATTGTTTCTCTATCAGCTATTATTATTTATTTTACATTCAAAACCAGCATTACTGTACTAATTATTTTGCTTGAGTAATAAAATAATTTTTTTCTCATCAAAATCACCATAATATATTTTTTCTTGTGTATTGTTTTATTAGTATAACATAAAGGAAATAAAATTACAATATATATGTAAAAAATATTTTAATTATAATAACTAAAATACATTTTTTTAAAGTATTTTATTTTAAATATATCTGAATAATAATATAATCTTACAATAATTTCATTTCAAAATAAATAACAAGTTATAAATCATCAATCATCTATATTGTTATTTTTAAGAATTAATCTAATAAAGGATTATTAACTATTAATTGCAACATGTTTAAATGGTAGTTAGTTATAAAAAATAAATTTTTAATTAAGTTATAATTTTAATTTAGATGCTAAAATGCCTGTAAAATTTTTATTAGACTGTATAATATATGTTATAATTGGTGACAAATAAAAATAGATAATATATGTGTGTATTTAAAATCATCTCGTTTTATAACACAAATGGTAAAATTAGAATTTATAAAAAATTTTCATAATTTCATAATTGTTGGGCCAAATAATTGATGCATAGATAATCAACACCCTGCTGTATATAAAATCAAATATTCCAAGGTAGTTTATGTGTAAATATTAGGTAAAATAATGAAATACTTTCCCTTTGTTTGTGGTTAATTAATATCGTTAAAAAAACAATGATATAAGCTTTAAGTTATAACTATATTTTTTTTTTTTGAATTTCTTTTATTTAAATTAAATTTTAACAAAAATAATTGTATCTAAACTATTATTATTTACATAATGTAAATTACATTTATTTATTTGTGTTACTATTTGAGAAAACAAATGTTGTCTGTTGAGACCTTAACGATCATCATTGTGTTAATGTTGTCAATTTTTTTGTTTGATAACCTGATGCTAATTTTTAGAAATAAAAATGTTAAATCCAATAAAACCAGTGATAAAAGTTTTAAAAATACATTTATAGTAAAAAATGTTTAACAAAAAATACAGTCAACTATCCTGAATTACTAAAGATCACCTACCTATGTTACGGACCATGTAATATTTAGTTTATTTTAAAACATATATATTGTATGGTGTGGTGACACAAGTTCCGATTTGTTAACAAGACAAGACAATGTGAGGTTAGGACAGACAGTGTGAACATTGTATTATTTAATTTAACAATTTAGGTACCTATGATCACACGTCACACTCTTTTAAAAAAAATTGAAACTTTGAAAGTGTAAGGGTCGACAAGAATAATAATCAAAATGCAAAAGTTCTCGTGTCATCGGAAGTCACCACCGCCACAGTCACTTCTCTTTGTGAACTGACCATTTATAAAAGAAACCTGCAGATTCAGCAGACTGTTAGGATTATTCAAGACACTCAGAGGCAGGTCATAACACCACTTACGGTCTCGTTTCATCAATATTTTAGAGTCTGGCCGTAACATCGCTCAGCCAACACCTTTTGCTTACCTACATTTATTGTATTTTTGTATGAGTTGATTGTTTGAATTAAGATCTAAATAAAATGCTCAAACACCAAGTATTTTATTCCTACGTTGATATATGAATCGACGTTGAACAGAGACGCAACATCGACTCTTTCCAAAATTAACTCCATGATAATTGTCAATTGATAATAATAGTAATAGAACAGTATCTAATATCTATGTTTAAATATATTTTTATTTTTTTCGGGGATTTTTACAAACACTATCAATCATAAATCATAATTCAGTAAATATGTAAAATAGATATATAGCCACAATAATATCTATAGTATTATCTAATGACTAACGAGTGTGACTAATAAATAATAAATAAAATAAACTACTATTCGCCTACATTAAAATAGTATATGAGTAAATGATAGGTAGCATATAAGAATAAGTAAAAATAAGATAAAACAAAGTGCGTGGAATTTATTTTACCGGAAGGTAGCGTTTAAATACTACTTATCATTTTAACAAACAATCATGACATCATACTGGCATACAAGGCAAATAATATACTCGAATCATAGGACGTACCACGTACGTCAACAGTATTAAATTTCACTATGGCACTAAATTAATAATTATAATGACATTTGTTTTTTTTGTTTTATCATAATGTAAATACTTTTTTTTTATTCCTTATATTGCTGGTGTAGCCGTCTAGGATCTTATAAAAACGTTAGCTGCAGGCTGTATAATGCATATGCACTAATGCCATAATCAGTTTTTTAAAGAATCGTTCGTATAATAATAGACTTGATAAAATACCCTAAAAAACACTTTCGGCAGTTCGGCTAAAATTATAATAACAAATATTATTAATTATTATTACAAATTGTAATACAACACCATCAATAGGCAATATGTTTAATCCTTTAAAATAAATTCTACGCACTTTGTTTTATCTCATTTTTACTATTCTTATTAGTGACTAGTGCATCAAATATCTTTAGAAATTCGATTCCATAAAATTAATTAATATTGATGTTAATATTATAAATAATTAAGTAATCACCTAAAAATATAAAGTTATGTAAAAACTAGTAGTAAACACTTGACATATAAATGGTATAATTTTGTTATTAAATTTAAATATCTACAATTAATATAAAATAGAAGTAATGTTTTTATTCTGCCATTTAATGTTTATAATTTGCCAAGTACTGGACGAAGGGCTCTAAATTTAAATACATCCCTGATTATATTTTTATATATTATACATAATACAATATTTTTATTTATTATTTTATTTAATAACTAATAAGTAGGTAGTAAGCAGATACCTAACAATATTAAAAACAATGATAATGCGTCTAGTATTTTAAAGATTTCATTTACCTATACTTAATATTAATAAATAATATTAATTATTAATTGTAAGTTCATAAAAATAATCCTTAGGTACTATAAAAGTACTATTTTATTAATATAACAAAATTATTCTTAAATCACATTTTTTGCATTTGATCAAATGACACTACTTTTGAATTAAAAAAATAGCTAAATACCAATAAGTTTTTTTTTAAATATCAATGAAGCTTAATAATTTCGATGTCAATACATTAGCTAAGTAATGGCAATCAAAATATGAAACTATACAAAATATTTATTTAAAAATCAAACAACCTAAAATACAATAATTATATTAATAAAATTATTCATTTTTAAATTAAATTTAAATAAAATTAATTTTCCATATCACTAATTTAAAATTAACGAGTGCTTGTTAAAAATTAAATTTTTTATAAAAATAAGTAGTAAAACATTATTACTGTCAGAAAATTGTACATACATGATATAATCATATAACATACATAATCAATTTATTCTTAAGGTTTATTTAAAAATGTAAAACGGATAATTTAATAATTGTATATCAAAAAAATAACTTAAATTACGTATACATTTCTTATATAATAATATGTGACTATAACAGTAACTTTAAATTCGAGTTAAATTAATTACACAGATACTAATTTTATTATTAATATATACATAACATAGAAGCTAGTATACATATGGGTGATGAAAGTTGAAAAATATCCGCGGTAGGCATCATGATGCTTATAGTCAGTGTGCATAGTGCGTACTCAGCGGTAGAAGAAATCAAAATATTATGCACGAGCTATGGAGGTATAATAAAATAGCATGTTATTGACTATTGTATTAAAATTTAAATGTATGGAGGTAGACTAGACAATGATGCGATTTGGCAAACCGGTGGTACCAGATATGGACAAAAAAGACTGAAAACTGATTACAGAAACAGAACACGGTGAAAGTAACAACATGATGAGGCAAGAGCTTCACTAGCCAACACTACGAACTACGAGTAGCAAGGACGCGGGGATAGCACACAATACGACGCGCATGCGCGCACCTCACACCTACAACACTGAACTTAGTATGATAGTGGTGATACGCGCAGGCTCTAGAGAAACACAATAATAATAATAATAATAATGTATTTGATATAATATTATAGTCGTCTACTCGTTTATGGGATCGTCGACGTCGGTTATCACGGACGGAAGTTGTCGCGAATAGTAAAAAATAAAACGATCCAATCGTTAGTTGTCATTGTCTATTTGTCTCGAAATTACCGTAATAAATATCTTAACGCTTTTCGGTCTCGTCGCCATCGCCGCCGTCTGACGGACACCAGTGCACCACACGGGTGACCGATTTGGAACAGACGACCGCGACTTTGTCGTTGGGCGACGTGACGTCTGCTACCCGGGGACATTTTTATTTCGGTAGTTCTCCGTTCGCGTTTGACGGCCGCCGTTCGTTTCCTTTTTTTCTCTTTGGAAATCGATCGATCCGTTTCTGATAAATGACGTGTTCGGATTGACGTAAAAATGGGACAAAAAGTGAGCAGCCTGGGCGACGTGTTCCCTTGGAAGAATTCCGACTCGTCAAAAAACAATGATGGGTTGACGGCAGGTGCTAGAAACGGCTCGCACTCGTCTATCCTACCCGCAGCCTCCGTTCCCGTCTGTGCGGTGCACGGCGTACCAGTCACAGGAGATCAACAAAATTTGGAAAACATATACGTGTCCAACAATGACGCTCCGTCCTCGTCTAGTAGTGATCAGAACGTGAACGATGGCGAAACATTAGCAACGGTTTCCGATGTAGAGACGGTGACATCCAAGAATACTCAGCCGTCATCATCAAAAAGCACAGCTGGCTCCAAGAAACTCAACCACTGGGTGTTGCGTTTCAACTGCTCTCGTCCAAAGGCAAAGAATGTAAAGTACTACAATCCTCCTGAGTTTTTACCCAAGCCAAACGAAGCCAAGTGCGATACATGCGTGTGCACAAGTTATAATCGTACGGAAGAAAATCATCATATGGATACTGGTGAGGTATCTGATCCTTCTCCTTCACCACTCAAAGATGATTTGGACGAGATTGATTTAGACGATATTGATTTGGACGAGGCAGAGAAGAGCTTGCGAGACTTTGGAAGTGCTTTTAATGCTTTTAATGCATTTGAAAATCGCAGTGAATTGGTATTGCCTTCATTCGATGACGGATTTATAGATCTAGCAGAACTGACTAGACGTGAATTTTTGAACGATGACGTTGAGGACAGAGCTTACAAAGAGCGTGCTAAAGAAATCCAAGAGGGTATAGAACCACCACCAGGATTTAGGCCTGGGTTACACATACAATTGGTAGAATTTAGTTTGCCTAAAATGACTATAGACAATTTAACCTCATTATTCCAAAGAGCTGCAATTACAGCTTTAACTGCACCACATGATATGGATGATACCCAACGAATACATACATCCATTGACTATATTCACTACTTAGTTCCTGATCTACTTCAAATCACAAATTGCTCATTTTATTGGGGCAAAATGGACAGATATGAGGCAGAAAAATTGCTTGAAAATAAACCTGAAGGCACCTTTTTACTTAGAGATTCAGCTCAAGAAGAATATTTGTTTTCTGTAAGCTTCAGGAAATATGGTCGATCTTTACATGCACGAATTGAACAGTGGAATCATCTCTTTAGTTTCGATTCAAGAGATCCTGGTGTTTTTGCATCATCTACAGTTTGCGGGCTAATAGAGCATTACAAAGATCCTACTTGCTGTATGTTTTTTGAACCAATGCTGACTATACCATTACATCGAAATTTCACATTTTCTTTGCAACACACATGCCGTGCAGCAATTTGCAGTCAAATTACATATGATGATGTCAATCAATTAAAACTTCCAAAATTATTGAAGTCGTACTTAAAAGAGTATCATTATAAGCAACGTGTAAGGGTACGCATATTTGATTCAGAAAATTAATCTCTTTTTTTTTTAACTCATTTAGTTATAATTATATTTTATTTCAATATCTCTAGTTATAAAAATAGTTCTAACATTATTATTTTTAATGCTAGATAAAATGTTAATTGTTACTCATTTAAATAAAAAAAAAATTAGTACCAATATAAATTACATTACTTATTTCCGTACCTACCTGGAAAAATGTACTTGTACATTAATACCTGTTTAAATTAATTATTTAGCCCTGCAATATTATTAAATTTTAAGTTATATTTCAAATTTTTGTTGACTTCTTTTAAATTTTAAAAATTTATTATTAAAATTTGACGTATCTTTATCCAAATACCTTAATTGGTTAACTAAAATCTTTTATACTTCATGTAAACTAATAACTCAATATTATATATTTTTAAATGACTTTATAATACCTATTAATAAATTATTACATATTTATTTTTGTTATTTTCATACTTTAGTTTTGATGATAACAAAAATTTACCCATATTAAAATAATTTTTATTTATCCATAATAAGCTTAAAATATAATTGAAATTTTAAATTAAAAAAATTAATGAATTAAAAATGTGTAGGCATAGTCCTGAAATATAATATATATATATATAAAAAACAAGTTTATGTATATATAAAATTTTAATATGACATAACATTTTGTGTTATGTATTAATTATTTTTTAAGAAAATTTATGGTTTTAAGTTTTTATTAAGTAATTGACTTAATATATCGGCATTATCAATGTTTTAATATTTTTAATATTAATAGTGTTAAAATGTTTATTAATTTTTTTTTAAATTTTTTACAAAATTATCGTTAAATTTGAATATTTGGTTAAATATTTATCTTGCACTTATGAAATATTAAAAGTATATATATATATATAAGTGTAAGCAAATGTTTTCATGTTTTCATAATATTTTTTGAAACTAATTTCTAAAACAATTATCTAAGCATTTAATAGGCTAATATTGTTAATCATATTTACTATTATTATAATTTATAATAATGTTATTATTAGTATTAATATTTTATACACATAAAATTTATCAATCTTAATGTTTAATGAATAAATACCTATTTATTATTCAAACAAAATATTTAGAGTATTTGTGTAGATGTAGTATGAAATTTGTCACTATAAATAAATGATAATTTTTGTGATATAATTTGTACATAAATGTCATACTTTATTAATATTGTTTAAAATATTTTTGAATCTTGCCAGTTAATAATATTTTCATCTACCTAATAAAATATATCTATAATGCATTTTGAAATATTTTATCAATGTATTATATTTTATTGATCTTATTCAAAATGTGTTACCTATATCTATAAATTAATTGTTCAATGTTCAAACAAATATAATAATGTTTAAAAATGTATATGAAGTTTTGTTTATTTATTTAAAAATATAGCAATATATCTGAGATGTAGCAATTAGAGAAAACATTTTTATAGAGGTTGTATAGTAGCGTAGTAAATCACTATCTAGATTTAACTTATTTACGCTATGATATTCCATTGATTAAAGGTAATATTTAAATATATATTTATATATTACATTAATAATTACAATATAAATACAAAATGGAAAAATAGATTAATCTCTCTGCTGTACATGATCATTTTAATGGATAAATGTGATACATTTTAAACTATTATGAAGAAAAAATTTCAAGCAAAGAAGAAACCCTATATTACTAAGTATATATCATATATTTTTTATGAAATTAATATTTTGATTATGTCATTATGTATAATAAAATATAATAAAATAGTTAATAATTTCAATTCTTTATAAAAATTTTAAATTACAATAAAATAACTAAAATCATTCATCCAGTGGCTTAGTTATGATTTTCTTCTGTGGATAATATATAATTTATTGGATAAACATAAAGTAAGGGCTTATACAGTTATAATCATGCTCTTATAACCCTATATTGTATATTATATCCGTGATTATTACACAATATGGGAAATTTAATAATGTTATACCAAGTGTAAGACAACGCATTAAACATTAAAAAAAAAAGTTCTGGAGAGGATCTATTTCCATAATCCCCCCCCCCCCCCCCATAACTATATCACTGTGTTAATCTTTGTTTAAATATTTGATGTTGTTAAAATTTGAAATTAAAACATCTATAAAAAAATTTGTTTTTACATATTTACTATTATATTTCTGGATTTCAAAAAAATCTACTCGTAAGTTACCTTAAACTACAATTTTAAAGCTTTAGCTATAAAACTTGAATATTTTGTACATTTTTAAACACAATAATAATTTGCAAATTTTCATGAGTTTGACAAATATTTTCAACATTTGAATTCAAACATTTTACTCTTAAAACACAATTGTGGAATCACACTCATTTTTATTTTTATTCTTTTAATTCCACTTGTATAAACTTATTAACCTCGTAATAAATTTTTAAGGTTTTTATCTGACCAACAATTTTATATCAAATCGAAATATAGCTCAAAAAAACAGTCATGTATAAAAAACAGAAATAATTTAAGTATTTAGAAAAAATATCAAGTATCTATAGTTTTTTATTTTTTTATTAAAACAAAATAATAAAATTGATTTTATCAAAAATGGGTTTTGCGTATAATTTACTCAATTATTTTGAAAAGTATTGAGACTTGGGACATTCTTTTTTTTTAATTCTCTAAAGAGCAACCATAAACTATCTTCCAGACTAAATATTTTAATAAAATATTAAAGAATTTTTTCAATATGTAATGACTGATGATAATTAATTGTAGTCAGATCTGAGTGGTCAAGCATTTTAGTATAAATATTAAAAGGAATATTTCTTAATTTATTTCAGAGGTAGAGAGACTGAAAGTCTTATTGTGTTTTCTTACTATCAAGCCAAATGTTAGTTTTAACTAATAATGATAAGAGTAATATTTTTCATTTTTAATAAATCCAAACAGCTTTTGTAAAAAAAAAAAATTACCAGTGAAACATAATTTAAATTTATAATGTTATTTGAGATAGTTAAACTATATATTATTCTATGATCAACTTATAGATGAAACAAAATCTCTATATTATGATTTTTTTGTCCTGTAATCTAAATAATAAACATAATTATATTATTATCTCTTATTATGTGTACACCGCACAGCATACTCAATCTTAAAGTATTAAAAGTATAGATATAATAAATTAATAAAACATAAAAAAAAATATCAATTTTTTTAAATTACTTTTGGTCTATCTCTAATATTTATGTAACTAATTATTTTGTTGTAATAATATAGCAGTTTATTTAATAAAGAAAACAAATATTAAATTCTGTTTTTACTTAAAATATATAGGCTATACAATCTAAATAACATAAGTTGTTTATGTTTTTGCATGAATTATAACGTTATGTAAATTTTTAAATAGCTAGGTACCTTGACAACAAAACTAATATTTTTTTTTTGTAGATCCTGTAAATTATATTATTTTTTCATTTTAGATTCAATTTAAAACAAATAACAGAAAAAATGTTAAATAATTTAGGAAAAATAAATAATAGAAGTAAAAAAACCAATAGAAAAACTATAAATATGAAAAGCAACAATTCAATGTTAAAATCAGTATCCAGTGAGCTATTGTCTTACATGATTAATAAAGAAAACTGTGGCTTTAGTTTGTAAAATAATTATTAATAATAACAAGTTATTATTGTATCATTGATGATACATAATTGTTGTACAGGTACACGCATATTCAAATGTTATTAGATATGCTTATATTCCAAAATCCCATACAGCCAATAACATATTTTGAATACTACAGTGAAAATATTAAGATGTTATATCAGAAATCACAACCTGATCCTGATTTGAAATTTTTTAATTACATTGACATTGATATTTATAACAAAATAATAGAAATATATAAAGTATTATTTAATTTATTTTAATATTAACTTCTATGAAAAATAAAATGTTAAAATTTTGAATGAATGATGCATTTTAGGATACCATATTTAATGTTAAAGAATATAAAACGAGTAGTATATCCAATGGGTATGAAGTCGAAGCAGAATATGATGATACTCAATACAATGAAGAAGTAAATGAGATTAATGTACAAGATTTATCAAAAATCAACTATGTGTTTAATAAGGCTGGGTGTGGCATAACAAATGACGAAGCTCACCTTATTGGGATAACTATGGACCAAATGTCACAACTCGAAAAATTTAAAAGTATTAGGTATCAACAAACATTTTGATAATACTGGTGCAATGGTGCCTATTTTTGATTTGAAAATTTAAATTAATGGGTATATTCATGGTTACAGATATTGGGGTAAGATAATAGGCTTAAAACGTAACTATTACATTTTGGAATGTGATTGGAAAAATAAAGAATTGGAATATAAACTGAAAGTAAGCATTATAAGTATATTGGTTATTCTATAATTTTTGATTTTCATAGATCCAATTATATTAATATTTTATTTAAAATTTTAAATACTTTTAGAATCTTCTATACTCAATAAAAACTTATCTGCAATTTGATAATTTATTGAATAATTATCAAACGATTTCAATCATTTATAATATTATAAACCATATTGTTTTCTGTCACCTACAGCTCTTAAATATAGTTTTTAACACTAATAAACATAAAGTATTAAACGATTATGATAATGAAAACGAAAACGAAAATCAAGAAGAAGTAGAATTAGAAAAATATATTTTATCTGAAGAAGAAAATGGTTTATTTTCCAAAACTACATTATCTGCTCCTACTAGCAAACATATTAATGATGAATCAGAGTTTTTATTTGATTCTATGAAATCAGAAGTATGTTCTTTTCTACCCATAGAACTCGATAATGATGATTATTTATCCCATGAAATATTCGGTTTCGGAGCTAATAAAAAGGTTCATAAGATTTTTTTCCTACTTTTCTAATAATATAAATTATAATAGTCATTATTTAGTCATACTTTGTAACAAATCAATTAAACGATCCATGGATCGAACTGCCACTTCTCAAGCCTCATCATATTATTCAATCGCGGAACATCAAACGGTACTTTACAGGAAATTTGGAATCGCCTGTAAGAATAACAACGACTACATTGTTTTTCATAAATTTTTAATAATTAACCCGTTAGAAAATATTTGGTAGGCATTTGCTAATAAAATATCTTATACCTAAACAGATTGAATCTTATCCATCATTCCAAGGTTTGGAAAAACATTATCTCAGAGCTCAAATTGCAAGAATAACAGCTGCAACTCAAATATCACCTCGTGATTATTTTATACTCAATTACAATTCAAACGTATATAAATGGAGGAAATTAAACACTTTCCAATCGAAAGTAATGTCACACAAATGTAAGTATTTTTCAAATTGTCCACATATTTCACTTTCTTGATTTGAAATCAGAATGTTACCATTTAAAATTTATTTTTTTATAATTTATTTATTACTTACTATTGCTATTTATTTGTAAAGTTATGTATTGTTCGAAATAATACTCATCATTTTAGATTCTCTTTAGGGATAAATGTATTGATTTTATAATGATGTACCCATGTGTTTTTTCTTGTTTGTGTATTCACAATTTATAAAAGAAAACAATACTTTTATTTTCAACTTTAATACCAGTTTTTGATAAAATCGATTCATATTTTGCTGTAATTTATACAAAAACGAATAACCGTAAATATTAGAAATTTTCACCAGACGTTTGTATTAGCATATTTCATTCTTTTTGAACTAGGTATGTAAAAACATTTGATTTTTCGAATTTTTTAAAGTTTTTCTAAAATATTATTGATTAATGTTTGCTTAATCAAAAACCTTGAAAATTTAATATAAAGTTCTACATACGTTATGATGTTATATATATATAAGTTATTCTATACAAGATTGATATTAAATATAGATATTTAAAAATACATAAAAACAATTTTTTTGATAAGCATTTCAAGTTTAAACTTTGATAATAACAAATTGGTAAATTATTTATAATTTAAAATTAATAAAATATTCAATTTTTATTTTTTTGTAAAATTAAGACAAGGTTTCTCATAAATAATTCATACTGGAGCTAAAGCATACATAAGTAATAAGTATACAATATTTCTGTGTAGACATTTTGAGTTCAAATTTAAACGAAATTACCTAGATATCTAAATAAATACAAGTTTTATTTTGTTGTAATTTATTAACATTTTTCGTACCTAGTAATTTTAAACATTTTTATTTATTAAATTATTATTATATTTTATTTTATTACAAATGACAATTATATTTTCACTTACCTAATTTAAATTTATTTTATTCTATTACCTATTTAGATCACGGACCTATTCATACTATAATAAAATAGGTATTGACTCAAAAGTTAATACTTTACAATAATATAATAAATGCAATGTTCTCAATAAAAATAAATTCAATTTACTATATTACTTTTAGCAAAATAAATTACTGTAATAGCAATTTAATAAAATATCATTAAAATGATATTTAGTTAATAGGCTGGTAAACTTTTTCTACTCGGGACCTCAGAATTGATTTTTGTATGTAGATAATGATATATCGTATAGTGACTTATTTAATGACCAGTTAAATTACACTTACTGCGGAGTACCTACCTATAGTTACCCATACTTTTCCTTTTTTTTTAATTACTTACCTAAATAGTTCATTTTAGTGTTTTATAAATAATTATTCTTGTATAGGTAATGTATTATTATTTTTAACATTATTTATGATTGATAGTATTTACATCAAGCATCTATTATAACATAAGTATATATACTATATATGTATACAACAGGAATGTCATTATCGTCATTATTATGAACAATAATTAATATTTACCTACTACTACGGTAGGATTTTACGTCTTTAACAATAAGTGAATATGGTGTTATCCAATGCAATGTTGCATTGGTGCCTCCGAATTAATAGATTTAAATATCTAAGTAGGTACATTAAATGAGACGGTGAGATTAAAGAAAGCACTGTTGGCAAGGAATAAAAATATAAACTTACTGCAATTACTTGTGATCAATGTTTTTAGGTATTTTATAGTATATAGCTTTAAAATAGTGAACATTAAACAATTTATCTATTTCACAATGTACTTACTACCTATATACTTAAACACTTGTAGTAAATACTTATTAATTACTTAGTTGGTAGTTCTCCATTCCATCGTTATAATTGGATATTTTATTTATTTTAATTTTCATTGTTGCTTATAAAAGCTATAAATATCATAAATTCATATTATCACGTCTATATTATGTCATATTATTGTACTACGTTAAAAATAAATAAAATATAATGACTTTAATCGTTTTTTACTTTTCTGAACATTAAACAATATACGCTTAAATTACATTTCTAGGGGTCCACGAGTACGTAGTGAATGCAGATTACAATCCTTTATCGATATACGATTTACTTGAACCGAGCAACTGGGTACATCACACTCCCTTGATTTCCGAAAAAGGAGTGACTAAGGCGTGGAGCAATATCATAGAATCCGAAGGAGACTTACAACAAGTAATTTTTATCGACCGTTCAATCGATATAATCAATAATTTGTAAAATATATATTCAGGTGTACTTAATATAGATATCATGACATATCTATTAAAGTACCATATAGACGTGTAATGATAAATATAGGTAATAATTTAAAAAAATTACATTACTCAGAACTCGGAGAAGATTGAATATGATTGCAAGGTTAAAATAAATTTAGAAAACGAAAAAGGAGATGGTAACCATCTAGATATATTTGGAAATCTTTCAAACGACGCTTATGTAGGTGAAATGCCGCCATGGAAATTCGAATTGACCAATAGGTTTGATCACACAATCACTTATGTGACCATCCGGTCCAATCTTTGGCCTGGGGCACATGCAGTTGCACGTGAAAAGTGCCTATACTATACTTCTTATAATAATATAGTCAATTACATTTTGGTTTTTATATAAATATATTATTTTTGATATTTTTCTACGTATAGTCTTTTGGATTACACATATCACGGTTGGGGCCTCAAATGGAACGACTTTAGTTTCACGGTCCAGCCGTTGAGTGGATATCAGCAGTCTGATTCTTATAGAGACGATTTCGGTATGACTACTGAGATTAAAGACCCGACTCGCGAGGACGAACTGTTATATTTCGAAATAGTTGAAAAAAGGAGGAAAGATCAAACTCGTATGAAAATTGGCGTTCTGAAACCGTTTTCTACAGCAGACGAAGACGAAGAAAGAATTCTCAATCAACACGATTACGACTGATGCCGGTAACGCGTGTTGTAGCTATTTTCGTATCAGTATTTTTATATTATATTATCCAAGAACAATATTATATAATATATAGTATCTATCTAGTAAGTAGTTATCCACCACCATTTATAGTTATGCTATTATATATATTGTTTGCTTAATAATTATATTCCTACATGGTTATATGCAACCCTTTAGGTACTTATAATATTGGAATTTGGAATTGCGTTTATTTGATTTATCATGTCATAGCATAATTTATATGTTAAACATAAGGTTAGTTATAACCTATAGTACCTACTTTGGTTGGATTGAAAATAAAGTTTTACTTAAACTTAAAAATCAAAACTTACCAATAAGTTTCTGAGAAAAAAACCTACACTTATCATTCAAAAAATCTGTATTATATAATCTATAATAAAATTAAAGTAAATAGTTATGTTATATTTTTAATGCTATGTTAAAAAAGCTTGTTTTTTCAACAAAATATGTGATATTTAAATAATTTTTAACTTTGGCTACCTACTAAAAAAGACACAGTATAATTCCGTAAATATTTTAATAATTGGCCAAACATCGATTTAACACAATTAAAGTTACTCATTTATAATAGTTCTAAATACGTCATATTCAACCGAAAATTATCGAAATTAAATAATTTCTGAATAATATTTGAAATAGATAAATTAATGAATAGTACCTACCTACGTACAGAAGATTAGATAAAAGTCAAACAAATATCAATATAAAACTAACTAAATAATAAATTACTGATAATAATTAATCGTGTTCGTGGATTAAGATAATTAACAAGAATGACAAATATTATATTTATTTAATGATTAAAATATTGTCAACTGTTGATGGAACAAATATGTATTTACATAGTTACATAGAAAGTATTAATTTTATATTAATTGGGATGGTTATAAATAATTTTAAAAAAAATAAAAAATTAACTGTGATTTGTAAAAAAATTAAACATATTCTTATTATATATACAGTGTTATAGTTAATATATTATATATGTTGGCAGATAATATTCCATAGGCCTAACTAGAATTAAAATATTGGTGATAGCTTAATTATATAATGTTCTCTACATTTATGCTATTAAACGATATAATTTTTTGTTTATAACATTTATAACATTTATTTATATTCTAGAATAAAAAAATAAATAAATAATGAATAGGTACATTAGAATGTCAATAAAAATAAAAGTGATTTAAACACATTTTGTGAATCTATTTTGTAAATTATTTAATTATTAATATAGGTAACATAATCTACCTTAAAATGGTTAATAAACGTTTGAAATTTTTAATAGCATTAGCCAATAACCATATCAAGAATATATTTTTTAAACTAAATAAATTTAAATTAGTAGTAATAGTGTCAATAATAGGAAACTTAACAGTGCGGATCTGAAATATTTTTTCTTCATAAATTAGTGATTTTTTTATAATTGTTTATATTGAATGCTGATAAGAATGTCTGTGTTAACTTTTATGCCTTAATACTCCAAAAACTACTTTATAAATTTTAATATAAGTTAATGGAAAAACCTAGGAAACCTATATTTTTTACTCAACATACTAATGCAAATAAGTATGATTTATTATGTTGTTATATTTTGTTAAAATAGTATTGTGTTATTAGAAATACTGTTAAAATCGATATCGCTGAAAACATAAAAAAATAATAATAAACAAATTATAATGTTGATAAATTAACTTATTTAAAAAAAAAAAGAAAAAAATACAATAATTTGTAAAAGAAAAAAATAATAAATTTAAGTTAACTTGTTTTTTGATATTTTGTGTACCTAATAGTAATAATATATAAATCAAAAAAGTAAGTTATAAATTTATATACTATTGTAACTCATAATGTTGTATAATACTTAATTGTTAATTTATCTCATTTTAATTTAATATCATGTTTATAATTTGTAGTTACTACAAAAAAATAATAAAGACATTTTTCACAGTATTTAAATCTCAATCCTGACAAAGTTCAGTGTTATATAAATAGCAAAAAAAAAAAAAATTATAAACAAATATGTATTTATAAATTATTTTAAATTTATATTCTAACAAATAATTTTTGTAAATATATTAATCTTATCAATAATTTTATGGGCTTTTCAATTTTCTTTTAGAATATTTATCATCATTTTTCATTTAAATAGAATTTTTCTTTTACAATTTTACTGAGTAACTGTCACTCAACATTTTATATAATTTACCATTTATATTTATGTTATTTATCATAAAACATTAGCTGTTTCCATGAAAAATTTTAATACTAAAATATATTCAATTTAACTATTAGAGGAGGTAAAATATAATTAGAAATATAAAAAAAAGATTGACTTGAGTATAAAATAATAATCTATTAAGATAATTTGTGTACAATGTACATATTTGTTAAATATAAATGAAATAGTGTAAATAAATCCTCATCGTTAAATATTTAATGTAAATAGCTAAAAAGCTATAATCAATATTATTTATGTCATATTTTAGATTGGCTTACTATAGATTGTTTTTTTTTTATTGCAACAAATATTAATTTGGACTTAATTTAAATAAATAAGAACATTTTAATCTTAAGAAAATTTAATGTTAATCAAACAAAAAAATTAATAAATAATTAAAATAATCATAAAATTATTTGTATTTATATAACATATTTCACTACAAACAAATGATTATTATGATGAAAAATAACTTAACAATTAAAACAAAAAATATTTTTTTGTAAAAAAAAAAAAATATTACTATTTTAATTTACATTAAGTGAATAAAATGTTAGTATTGCATAGCATTAAATAAGATTAATAATAATAAAGTAAATGTATTAAATTCTGAGTTTTTCCAATAATATATATATATATAGATTTGACTGATTTGGGTAGTATAATTAATTAAAAATATTTCAAATTTTAATCTCTAAGTTTCATAATGATAACTGTCTCATAAAGCTTTCTACTAACCCAGAAAAACACATTTATAGATCACTTTTTAAAATTTCATCACAACAATTACACCTTAAAACTATAGCAAGTACTAATTACTGGTAAGTTTTAGTATCAATTATTTGTATTAGTGGGTAGATTTCAGTAAAAATATATTTTTTAGCTAATTTTTAAGATATATTTAATTAATTTAGAGTTTTATCAATACAACTGGTTGTAAAATGTAGTACACATTTTATTTTCAGAATCACTATTTTGTCATAATTATCTTGTTGTTTTCTATTGTAAAAATATTAAGTTTTTAAACAATCATCTTGATTTATTTATAGTATATAAATGTTATAATCGTATAATTACAAATATCCAATTATGTTTTTATTTTATTTTTTGACAGTTGTACTACTTTTTGCTATAGGTTAATTTATTAAAAAAAAAAATAAGTACATCAAAATAAATTCAAATGTTTTAAATTTTTGTCATTACTTTTATTAACCATTGCATTATAAATAAAACACAACTAATTATATTTTACAGAAGAAAATAAAATAATAAATATTATAATTATAGGTATGTTTCATGATATTGTAACTAACAATAAATAAAACAATAATGTATAGTTAAAAAAATAACTATAAATATTTAAAGGAATGTATAATAAATTTAAATTATTGTAATTAATGCATTTGGTACAAACAATGTCTAAAGAAATTATTTGAAAAATTAATAATTGTCATTTGTTGATAGTTATCAATTTATAGTTATTTTACACAAAGTATTATTATTAAAAAAATATCTCTGAAAATAAAATAATAATACATTACAATATTATATGTAATTAAAATGATCATATAAAAATGAGCATGGTAAATATCTATTAACAAATGCAAATGCTGTCTGAAGTCCAATTTAAATTGAAAAAATGTAAAAGTAGAAAAATACATTAAGTCATTTACACATTATAAATATATATTTTGACTACTTATCAGTTACCTGACACATTTATTATGCAAATCAAAATTGTAATCCTTACAAATAAAATAAATAATATGAAATATATTATGATTAAGGTGCATAAATTAACTAAGCAAATAATATATGGTGAGTAATAAAATAATTTTTCCCAATACAGAATATTCCAGTGTTTATTAATAATTTTAAAAGTTAATGAAATGAAAGACAATACAAAAACTTTATTATAATTTTTAATAAACACTTGAAATAATTAACTTAAGCTTATGTTATGGCATGTAATTAAGTAATGAAATGCTATTCAATTTTATTATTTAATTACTTTTAATCTAATATGGTACGTTTTTGACTAAATTCAATATTGTTTGGTAATTTTGATTATTTAATATTATAATTTAGTATAGAAGAAATACTAAATAATAAATTTAATAATAGTTTTAATTTTTAGTTATATGCTAACAAATAAAAATATATTTATATGATCAAAAAAAAAAGTCAATAAAAATACTAGATTTAAAATAAATGGAGAAAGTAAAAGTCTTATAACTATAGTAACTTAAAACATTAATCCTAAAAAGTAAAAACAATCACAATATTGGTGACGTTACATTCGTTAAATAAATGCAAAAATATTTAGTTTATTTTTAAGATAATATAGCAACACTTTTACGAGCAATTGTTGTACTGCTTACATTATCTAGACTAGACCATTTTTTTAAACCATTTTTTAAAAATTCTGAGGTTATCTTATCTTCAAATACTCTAGACATTGCTTCTAGTTTTTTTGCTCGTTCTTTACTTAATGGTTCTGCAGGGAATGTCAATTCATTGTCTTCAGCCAATGAGCGTAAATCAAAATAATATTTTGCATAAACACTGGATGGAACATTAATATTAAATTGAAGCATCTCAAGAAATTGACGTTCCAATTCATTCCTAAACAAAATTAACATTTATTAAAATACAATTTTTGATTATTGAAAAACAGTTTTTGATAAATTCGATAATATAAAGATCACAAAAAAAAAAAAAAAAAAAAATTAAGTAGTTGCCACCTATTCCAGGCAAAACGAGCAAAGGTTTTTGGTCAGAAGATGCTCATATTTGTTGTCTGTTTTTTTTGCAATATAGCAAATCTACACACAGCAGTTTACATTTAGTTTTGAGTGAATTAATTGATCTATTATGAATCATAATAGTAAAAACTTTTTCTAAATTCAAGTAAAGATTTTTTTTTGAGTTCTGTGTATACGTAATAGTGTAGTATAAAAATGCTCATAACTTGCTTAAAAACAAAATTATCATAACAACTTACATACAAACATATACCTGTATAGAAGGTTTTTAACATGAAGTTTTATATTGGTTTACTATAATATTAAAGTTAATAAACCAAAATGTTAACTTGTAAATTTGGTATGTTACATACTTGTTATACAAAGACAACAAAATAAGTATAGTGATAATGTTTGATTTAATTCTATGTATCCTATGTAAATTGGGACTATTCAGTAGATAAATTAAATGAAACTGCTGTATTTTAGAACACTCATTAAACTTTTCATTTTTTTTTATTCTAACTCCTACATTCTCTATCAATGTTTCATTAAATTATTTTCCAGTAGCTCATAATACAAAAGACCTATACATTTTAAATTAAGAGGACGTGGCACCAGCATATGTCATCTCCATCTTATACACATCTGATATGGTAAATTGTCGTTCACCAGTTTCAATAGTGTGCTTTTAGTTTTCATATTAGAGTGAATTGACTTATTATCAAAATTTTAGCTAAGAACATTAGGTGTGTTCTCTCATTCGTTTTTTACGATATTTTAATTTTTAAGTGAGTTATAAGCATTTTTAAGTGTTTACATTTTTCATACTTATAATTCACTTAAAAATTAAATTATCATAAAAAACCAACGAGAGAACACAGATAATGCTCTCAACTAAAAGCTTAATAATAGGTCAATTTACTCTATTATAAAAACTGAAAACACACTATTGAAACTGGTAAACAAAAATTTACTATATCGTTCATGTGTAAGATGGAGACAATACATGTGGATGTGACGTCCTCTTAAAGTTTATAAATTGAATATATTGACTTATAATATATATTTCATTAAAATATTGAAAAATTCAATGTAACAATACAATGTTTTTGTCAATCTATAGCTTTATCATTAAAATTAAGACCAATATTGATCCTTTATAAAATTTAATAAGTTAATTAATTATATCACTTATAATAAGTATATATAATTACCTCAGTTCATTTAGAAAAATATGTTTTAGAACACAAAATTTAAAATATTAATATAAATTTTACATACATATCTTCTACTGTTATATCTTTAAGAATTTGACAATAATCTACATTCCATACAGCTTGATCATCCCAAACTTTTGATGCCAACAAAATTGCCCCAAGAACAATTCTCTTCCAATTGGCAGGTGTTATGTCAACTTCTGCATAAGTTAATAACCTATAATTTTTTTTTTTTTTAATAAATGAATACAATTATATAATAAAAATATAAACTTTACCTTTCTAAATAAACTAATGTTATAATAGCACATTCAGCAGTTAGTTGTGCAGCATTAAATAATGTTCGGACAAATTTATATATGTGACGATGTTCTGGACTATGAACATCATAATTATCAGGTACTATATCTCTCTAATTATTCAAATGAAATATTTAAAATAACATAGTTAGAAGTTATTAAAAAGTAACATAACAATATTATGAATTATGAGTTAACACTTACAGTTAAGGGATGTAATTTTTCATCAAAAATTTCAATTTGTCTTTCAGAAGTTCTATTTTTTATATGATAGTAAATTGCAAGAGCTACACATTTTACTGTGTTTTTTAGATTTGGTTGAGATACTGTACTATCATCTAAATATATAGTAGAACATGAACTACTTTTCTTTAGAGATCTAAAGTCTACAATCTGTAAAATGTTTAAAACAGTAAAAAAAAAGTATTAAGTTATTATAATAATTATAATGTTACAAATAACATTTTTTAAAGATGTATTCAAAAATTAATAAAAATTTAAAAAAAAAAAAATTATTTTTTTCGTCTTTATATTTTATAGTATCCCTATTAGATATTATACATTTAGGCCAATGCTACACTCTTGGAACTTGTTCTTCGGAATAACTTTTAGCTCTCAGCAATACATTTTTAATCTTATTTATGCTCACAAAATAACAATTCTTTGAAGTTCTTTATATTTTGGGGAACAGAATAGTGCATTATGAGTTATTTTCACAAGGTTAAATACTTGCAAATTCAACATTATTTATGTGAAGCAATCTTTAAAAAACGCTTGAATTTGTGGCAAAATAAATCACGATAAAGCACTAACTTACAATTCATTACTTGTTTTTGAATTTTTAACAAAAAAACATCAAATTAATGTTACCTTAGCTTCCACTTAGCCTTCATGTTTGCCTGATAGCCCGGTGTAACTTTTTTTTATTTTCAAAAATAAAAATTACCTTACTATAGTTAAGCACAGACAAAATTAAAAACACATCACTGAGAGAATTAAAGGTAAAAGATCAACTTAAAAAAGTGTGGCAAAAATGCGTTGATATATTTAATGGAGCTTCATTGAAGAGGATAACATTGATATGGATAAATAAATAATTTTTTTCTTCAAAAATTCAAAAATTCCTGTTATTTTTGAACATACCTTGTATAGTATAACTCATTAATTTTAATAATATAGAAGTAATTAAAAACTAATTTTTAGTAGGCAAAAGTTTATCTATCAAAAAAATTTAATATTTAAAATAAATATTATAATTTGTACTTTACAATTGCATATTAATATAAAATAATATAAGTAAACAAACCTGAGACTGACTTTGTTTTCTTGTTAAACCATCTGGAAAAAAATTGTTAGTGTTATAATAGGTCCTAATAAATAAGATACTTATTGAAAAAAATGTATTTACTCATTAGTGAGTAAAGTCATTAATATTTAAAATAATCAATTTAATAATTTACTATGAAATATAAAACTATGAATTTACATCGTAAAAAATTAGGAAGAGATAAATTACATTTATTAAGATTTTAAAGAATATTAGGTACCAATGTTTAATGAGGTTTTTATTTATGTTATTATAAATTGTCTATCATCAGATACCTAAAAGGATTTTGTTATCAAAATTTATTTGTATAAATTGCAGTTATCAATTCACTTCAACGTCCACTGTTATTAAATTATAAAAATCAAAAAAAATAATTGTTAAGTAACTAGGACTGTATTTGCTTATTATTTTTTTTAAATAATCTAATGTGTTTTACTAGATAAGTTAATAATATTTAATAGGTTTATAAGAATAATTTTGTTTAAAATATTAAGGCAAGTTCAAACTCAAAACTAAAAATAAATGTTTGTTTTTTTATAATAAACTTATTTAAAAAATTAATTTTTAAAAATGGCTTAGATATTTGTAAAAAAAAAGGGGCAGTCAATGTTACTTATAAATAACATAATAAAAATATAATATTAAATTAAATAACAAATTAATATTTTAAATTTAGTTTGGATAAACTTTTATTACAATAACATCCAAATAAAACTTATTAATAATTAACAATAAGTAATTAAGTAAAATCAATCTTACTTTCAACTTTTGATCTCTCCAAAAATATTGTTGCTACTTTTGGATGAACAGATGGGTCAGTGTTCCAGTCGTCATGCTCGCGTTCACTAATGTGCTGTAAGTTTCCAACACTCTCCTCACCATCTTGCGCGAATTCATTAATAGCACCGTTGGCATCCTTGCGCCTAGATAGAGGGCTGCTGTATGAGCAACAACTAGTCCAATTGCCCATGATTTTTAATAAGTAGATGCTTTCGTCAATAAACATGAAGGTTACACGAACAGGTTTAATGTAATAGTGTAGGTAACAGAGTTTTAAGTTATAGCATTTTTAACATTTTTTTTTTATACACACATGTGTAAAATGTATGAACCATATTATATAATAATTATCGTGGAACGTCTACAATCTTAGCTAACAGTGTCAGGGCGAGTGTCGGTACTCGGTACGACGGTACTCGGCAGGTATCTCTTGATTAACCGTCGATCGGCTTAAGTTTGTAGCAGCAGCAGCGACAGCGTCGACGGTGGAGAAGAGACGGGGCTGCGGTGCTGGCGTGCGTACGTAAAGTGCAAATGTTATATTATTATTATCAGACGGAGGTGAATAATCAACAAACACCCGCCGGTCGGTGACGACATGTTGTCACTTGTCAGATAATAATAATCGTTATATACTACGAACTTGCGCACACCATTTCAGACGGATTATAATTAGGCAAGGACCACGACTGCAAGGTGGACAGATAAAAACAATATTTATATTACTATTTATGATATTATTATTCTATTAACATTATATTCGGCGTTTAATTACGCGAGATCATCGCCACACAAACATACGATAATCGACTTAGCGACCAATCGATGTTATCAATGACGCGTGTAAAACGATAACGTCAACTGTTACGTCGAGGAAGTGGTGGGCGGAACTCCCCGACGGTGTACTATATTATATTACATGGTGTAATAAAAGTGTACAACTTATTACTGTATAGTGTAGACGTGCAGTGAATGCCAGATGTCGACATATTATTTCTTATTTCCTAGAATCCCATACGATTGTTAACACCCGGGCGTGTAATCCCAGTCTTAAGAACGTTCAACCTAACAAATACATGTTTAGCTATTCTAATTTTGTGTAGTAAGCAAATGTAAATAGACTAAATAGACCTATTATCAACTATGATCTATATGCTTTTGAGTTTTTCACGATATTCAAATGTTTGAATAGTTTTTTAGTAGGCATGTAAAATACTGCGATTTAATAATTCTTTTAACTTGCTTAAAAAATTAAAACACCGTAAATTTACCTACGAGAAAGCATAGATAATGTCCTTACGTCGAAACTTGTAATAGGTCAATTATCTCTATTGTTAAAGGTTATTTGTTTTTACTTATAATACAAAGTAATTCGTATTGTAAGACGGAGATATCACATACAGCTTATACAGGTGTGACGTCTTCGGTCTTCTCAGAGGTTGTTGTTCCTTCCAAATATGTAAGCTAAAATCCGTAAAAAGTGAAAAGTTCATCGCCTAACTGTACAACTTTACAAATATTACTCATATGGACACTCTTTTTTCACCATTGAAAAAACCTGAACTTTTGTTACTATCTTATCGAATTTTTTTAATAACTTGATTTTAATTATTAAAAATATTACATTGAAAAATTTGAAAAAAATTAAATAATAATTAAAACTACCCGCATAATGCATATTATGTTGTCTTAACGTCTTACAAACACATACCTAATTTAGCAAATTTGGGTATCAATATTGTGTTGTTAGCTTTTATTTATATAATATAATCAAATTTAATAGTAAAAAACATTGACTGTATTTAAAATTTTAAATCCAAATGTCTTTAAACTTAATAGGAGTGATAAAATTTTTAGATTGTAAGGTTTTACTAAAAACGTCATAATGAGGAGCCTACCATAATTGTCGATGTTGAAAATTCTATATATTCATAATTAAAAAATAAAATTAGGTAGGTATATATTATGATGAATTCAATAAAAACTTCAACCGCATATAAAAAAAATGTATAGGTAAGTGGGTACTGCTGTACTGTAAGATAGGTATCTAGTGTCAGTAGGTCACTGTAATGGATGTGTTTATCGTTTAATAATTGTACCTATACGAAATATGAATCTAAGCGGAGACTGCCAATCACTTATCTTAGTTACCTATATAGCAATATAAAGAAGTACCTACCTAATAAGTACATTTTATGTTATGATTTTGTCATTTTGATACTGCTATTAATGTAATTTATTTTATTATTTATTAGTAATATAGCCGATTGAATACATTTTTTCCGTAAGCATTTTATTTAACAATATCATTATGTTTGTGTATATAAAATATAATATATAATAATACACATAAACGAAAGTTTAATGAAACCATCACGGGCCATGAACAACATTTTTCGAATCTAACAAAATAATAAATGTTGTTATTCATAATTTAAATAGGTATGTAATTTAGTCTAAAAACTTAAAATGTCTATAAACAAAAATAATGTATTTATATTTTCTTTTAGATTCTTGAGTTTTGGCATGAACTATACTTATGGAGTACTTTGTATTAAATATTCAAGTCTTATAGCTATCAAAATTGCACATTTTATAAATTTTCGACTGCAAAAATATTTGTAAATTATAATTTTAACGAATGTAGACAAAATTTGAGTCTTAGTGCTTATAAGAATAGGTATAAGATAAAATATAAGTCTAAATATATTATATTATATTATAAACATCATAAAAGATAATATAATATGTCCATCTATATTTTAAATATTTATAGGTAGGTATATTTATTATTTTATCTTGAAGAACAACTTATGTTGTATTTTGTATGAAATTGTGTAGCTTTTGATTTAGTGAAACAAATGCTATCCATGCTTATAAAAGTATAACTAAAAATAGTTGAAAATCGTAAATGTCTATAAATAACTCATACAAAGTAGAAAAATTGTGAAAATGATATAATTTATAGAAAATGGTTATATGTATAAGTATTATTGGTGAAAATTTCAAGTATTTACATAGTTATTCTGGTTATTCATCTTCAATTTCAATAAAATATCAAACAATTTTAAGGAGAAATAGTTATTTTATGGGTAAATATTATTGTCGTAAAAATTTTAATTTCAAAAGGTTAAAAAAATTAACTTAATTATCCTGTAGACATTTTCATAAATTTCTAACTACAAAATAATTTTCAAATTTTCAAAATATAATTGATTTTATCAAAAACTGGATTTGCGTTTTTAAATTTTTTCAGTTATTTTGAAAAATACCTACTGAATTCGAAAAACAGATAAATTAAAGAAAACGGGTATTTTTAGCTGATCAAGGATTTAAGTTTGGGTTTTAAAATTACTTGTTCGTATTTAACTTTGTAAACGATAGTTGACAGTATAATAATGTTGGTATTTTAAACTATGAGCAATGTGTTGAAAAAATTTGCAAATATTGTCGTTAATTTGAAGAAAAAATTTTGAAATGTCTCATGCCAATTCATAAATGATTTAAATTTAAATCTTCTTATTTAGCTACGAGTGATAGTCCACAATATTCAAAACTATCCAAACGTATACTTTCCTGGGTGGACGTACAGACCGATATACTGTACCTATAACACTACTAGTGCTAATAATTAATAAATATATTATATTATTATATATGTATACATAAAAATAGGTAGGTATAATAAATTTTCAATCGTTAATTATTTTCATTGGATATTTAAATGAAAAAAAGATTATTCAATGGTTTTAATTATCATATTACAATGCTGAAAAAGTACACAATGAGTCTGAATATCCTGCATTAAATTCAATATTTCATAAGCTAATGAATATTGAACATTAATTTACACAAGTTAAACAAATAAATCTAGTCAAAATTAAAATCTAATAAATAATAATTAATACAAGTCCCATAAAATCTATTGCAACTGTTGGTACGTTTTATTTAAAATTTTTTACTTTATAAAACAAATATAAGACGTGTTATCAGTTATCATCTTATCTTCACTATTCGTGAATTTAAATGTTATAGTTATTAGTTATTAATTATTATTATTAATATAATTAAATAATTAAATTGAATATTCTGATCTTTATTGTCACTCCAGATATATATATAAAAAAAGCAATCGTACATAGGTAACAAAATAAATAATAATCATAATTTACTTTTCTTAATTATTCTAGTGTTTTGGTACTTGAATACAAAAAAACATAATTAATGTATCTACATATTATATATATATATAATATGTATATCATATAGTATATATATACTGAATAAATGTATTATAATGAAAATTCAATGTAGATCTATGTCAAAAATACTCTTTTGTAATTTCATTTTACCTCTTTCTAACTTATTATTGGTTTCAAAGGCACATTTTCAATTTTTGAAGTAGCAATGGAAACATGAATAGATGCAATCAATTTTTATTTATTTAACGTACACTTGTAATTTAGAATTTCTATATAGTATATTGAAATATTTTTAGGATTAGGTACATTATTTATTGCATTCTACAAATTTAAAACATAATATAAAGTTATATAAAACAATAAATAAATATATACCTGCTAGAAGTTATGAGTCTAAAATACTTATGAATTTATTCTCAACATTGTTTTGTTGATGGTGAGTCGATTGATGCCAGCTTAAATAATATTTTTTGGTAAAATTTGCATCGCATTGTTTGCAAACAAAAGTCATATTTCATAATTCAAAATAAAAAAACCTAATATTGTATACATATATTTTTAATAATTTAATAACTTGATGATATTATGGACGATTGTACATTAACAACAAAATAAACACCTGTATAAATGTTCAGATACTACAAAAATATAAAAATTGTATAGGTCAATTTATAAGGTGGTAATAAAGATTATTGATTATTTTATTATTTATTTATACGAAAAAGGAATTCCTGTATATGTACAAAATTAAAGTTCAATAAATTATTATTATTATCCTTGCAATTTTTATAAGTGCTGAAAAATTTAACATAATATAAAATTATATATTATCACTATATTATTTAATTATCTATATTAAAATAATAATAACAATAATATTTAAATTCAAGCGGTATTTTGAATGTTATCAGTGTTATCACGTTGTAGACTGTCGTGGTCTGAATATCAGGCAATTTTTTTGTCATGTGAAAGAATCTTAAGAATCGATGATGCTTATTGGCTATTGCTTGGTGTGCGCCGGGCGGTAATTACTTGATGGCTTGATCATGAGTTTAGTTTTAGTGAGATTAGATTAATTTGTTATAAAGTACTTAGTAGTTTAGTACTTACTACTTAGTACTTTATACTTTTTTAGGCGTTGTCATGCTCACAATGTGGAGAAAATCTATTCTAATTTCTAAGATTTATCCGTATAAATGTGTCTAACGTTATATACATCGTGATTATTGTGTACTTGTGTATCTATTTGTCTATAACAATGAGCACAATCGCTATAGACTATGGCCCACACGAATAACATTTCATATTTTCGTTTATTCTATAGCAGTACAAAAGTAACAACTGTAACTATTCATCGTGATCGTGTAACTCAAAATTGCGAGAAGTCTCCAATTGTTCTTGTTGTTGGTAAGTAAACAAATTTGTACGTTATGCATGAACATGTAGTGATATTTTACTTAAAGTGTGGATTACATTGAATGAATTTTCTCGTTTGTCAGCGAATAAAATTGTTTGAATCCACTTGTCAGATTACATTTTATGTATTAAACTTGTCCACTAGTAATTAGCTAGCACAGTTAAGAAGGGTTGCTTGAAAAATTGATTAATTCAA